TGGATTCCGGGACTGCTCGGTCACGGCGAGGGCGTGACGCGGCTCAACACGCCGACCCGCCTCCCTTCCCCGCTGAGCGGTGAGCGCGCCGTGAGCGTGTCGGCTGGAGTATTCCACAGCCTCGCCCTCACCAGCAGCGGCGCCGTTTGGAGCTGGGGCCAGGGAGGCGTGGGCGCGCTGGGCCATGGCGACGAGCAGGACCAGTGGCAGCCGACGAAGGTCGAGGCCTTTGCTGGCCAGCGCGTCGTCGCTGTGTCGGCTGGCCAGGACCACAGCCTCGCCATCACCGCCGACGGCGCCGTCTGGAGCTGGGGCAGTGCAGGCTCTGGCGTGCTGGGCCACGGCGACCGGCAGCGCCAGCTGCTGCCCAAGAAGGTCGAGGCCTTTGCTGGGCGGACTGTCATCACCGTGTCGGCTGGATACTCCCACAGCCTCGCCCTCACCGCCGACGGCGCCGTCTGGAGCTGGGGCTATGGCTCCTCCGGCAGGTTGGGCCACGGCGACCAGCTGGACCGGTTGCTGCCGACGAAGGTTGAGACCCTGGCTGGTGAGCTTGTCGTCGCTGTGTCGGCGGGAGGCGGACACAGCCTCGCCCTCACCGCCGACGGAGCCGTCTGGAGCTGGGGCTGGGGACGCGACGGCCCGCTGGGCCACGGCGACCAGCAGAACCAGTTGCTGCCCAAGAAGGTCGAGGCCTTGGCTGACCAGCGCGTCGTCGCTGCGTCGGCTGGATCGTGCCACAGCCTCGCCCGCACGGCCGACGGAGCTGTCTGGAGCTGGGGCAATGGAGGCTACGGCAGGTTGGGCCACGGCGACACGCAGAGCCAGCTTCTGCCAATGAAGATCGAGGCCTTGGCGGGGCAACGCGTCGTCGCTGTGTCGGCGGGAGGCGGGCACAGCCTCGCCCTCGCCACCGACGACGCCTTCTTTACCTGGGGCAAGGGCGAGGGCGGCTGCCTAGGCCACGGGGAGGACACATCCAACCAGCTGCTGCCCAAGAAGGTCGAGGCGTGGGCGCCGGGGCAATGAGGTATCGCCCTCCTGCCTGTTTGATTACCTGGCCAGGGCGAGGGCGGCGCGGGTGATCGGGCTGGGCCCATATGAAGACTTTCATGCTGCCGCCTCGCACAACCTCCCAGGCGTCCGTGCTGCTTTAAACGCCCCCGACAGCGAAGCCCGCGCCGCGCGCGGCACCACCACCGACTCTACCTCCGACCCCAGGGCCTAGGCGGCCCGCCATGAAATCTAGCCGTGTGTGCTGGCGTCCAGGTCCCAGCGGGTTTTCACGTAACAAGTACACACCAATCCTCGCTAGACGCTACCCAACGCGACAAAACTACTATGTTCAATCCCCCCTCCGGGTGATGCCAGGGCAGCAAAACGGGCTACGGGTGGTGCCATGCAGCCAGCCTGACCCCCTAGAGCCGCCCGGCACCACCGCACCGGTGCGAGGCGTGATCGTGCTGCTTGGGGTACATTGTTGTTTTCATGGGCTCGAATGCGGTGTGAAAATGGCGCTCCGAGGTGCCGATTTTGCACGCGAGTGCGAGGTTCGAGCTCTCGTGCTCCGTCCACAGGCTGCGAGCCGTCGAGTGCTCGCTTCGCACTTTCCATTGGGTCCGTTGGCGCATATCGGGCGCCTCGCAGGCACGCCGTCCCCGCGTCTCTGTGGAGGAGATGCGTCACCCGGTTGCACTCAAATCGCAGCCGAACGCCATATCGCTCCGTGTGCCCCACCGGTGGCTAGCCTGCCGCCACCGCTTCATCGCACTTTCCATCAGATGTGTGGGCGCGGGGCGGATGCCTCGCCGGCAGCCGAGGTGCTCTCTCCTCGGATCCTTTGCGTCACCCGCAAAAAGTTCTTCGGAAGCCACTGCCGTCTGGGCACTCCACCAGCCCTCCTCGCCTTTTGAGGCTGGGATTGGTGTCGCCCGTGGCATCTGCGCCGGTCGAGAGCTTCCACGTCGCTCATGCGCATCAGGGCGAGCGAAACGCTCGCCCTCGGACCGGTTGCCTCTGTAGAAGCGCCCGCTACTGTGCACCACGCTGTGTCCCTCTCTCAAAGAGGGTGTGTGTGACGATACGTTCCTTCTAATCTATACCCGTGCCGAAAATCACACGCACACACATCTGAATCACACACACATCTGAAGACAACTATCTGAATCACACGTCGGTCTAGGTCAACATCTCAAAGTCCGAGTCTGTGTCCTCGGCACAGGCTCCTGCTCCGCCGCTGCGCCAAAGGCGGTCAGCGTTGCGGAGCCTGTGTGCGGCAGTTGGCGCTGGACATAGGCTAGACGTAACAGCGTGCGCACGTCGTTTCGGCGCTGTGCGACGAAGGCGTTGTTTTTTGCCTTCGCCGTCTTCATCGCCGTGCAAGTCCGCCGCATGCCGTTGAGCGGGGTGATCTCCTCACGCCTGCGGGGGCGGCGCGACACCGGTCAGCCTTATCGCAGGCATGCACACACACACACAGGGAGAGCGCACCCGCGAAGGTACTCGCTGAAGGAGCGAGTCAGGTCGCTCCTCACGTAGTCGACAGCCACCTCCGCGACAAAGTCCACCCAGAGCGCGCACTCGTGAGTGCAAGACTGCAGCTGCACATCCACCACCTCCAGCGCCCAGCCGGCGGCAGGCCCGGGGCTCCGGTGGAAGCAAGACGCGATGCCCGAGTCGATTGCGCCGCCATAGGGCTCGTGGTAGAGCACCCGTCTCTGGTCGACGAAGAAGAGGAGCTGGTGCCAGTGCCCGCCAAACTCGCTGCCGTCGGTAAAGCGCTGCATGACCAGCTTGCGCTCCGTCGGTGCCTCGCCCGCGAACAGCTTCGCCACCCACCCGGTGGGGGCTCCCGATTTGAAGCGGTTGAAGAGCGATCCGGCGCGAATCGTCATCCCCGAGATCGGCGCCCTCGCCTGCACGTCCTGGCTGTCGGCCCACGGTGAGAGGTCCTGCATGTTATGCACAATGATGTTATGCACGCGTGCGATATCGTCGTCCGAGATGTCGAACAGGAGCGTGGCGCCATCCCGAGCGAGCGACGCAGCGCCGCGCATCGAGATTGAGCGCTCCGTACCGCTTTTGTGGCGGTACAAGTACACGGCCTTGCGCAGGGCGGCCGAGTAACGATTACCCGTCATGTTTTGACGCAGCGCGAACTCGATGCGATGGCGTGGCCGGCCGCGCTGCGGCCGGCGCGCCTCCGCTGCCCGCACCTCCGCCGCGCGCTGCCACAGGCCGAGGAGCGAGTCGGCCTCTGTCGGCTCCACCTTGCCGAGCACGCCGGGCAGGTGGAGCGAGAAGAGCTTCACGTCGTCGATCGCCTGCAGGGCGGCCCGCTGCAACAGCGGAGTGTTGAGCGACGCCTGCAAGACGTCGAGGCTGTAGAGGCCCGGGAGCGTCGGCACGTCGCTGGGCTCGTACACCAGCAGCAGCTGCGAGCGAAACGCTACGCCGAGGGAGCGGCCGGAGCGGCCCTGTACCTCTGGCCGCATGACGAATTCGCACATCATCAACTGAATGAATGCACCCCCGCCAAAGTGTCGCAGCGGGTTCGAGAGCTTCAGCGCCAGTTCTCGAACGAGCCTCGTCGTTGCCGCCGCGTGCAGCCGCTGCCGCCGCCGCTCCTCCTCGCGCAGCCCTACGACTTGCAAGTCGAGCCGGGCTTGGGCACGCAGCTCGCGAGGCGTCGGCACGCCTGATGTTTGCGTCCCGGTTGTCGCTGTAATCGCTTCGCGAGCGGCGGCACGGTGGCCAACCTCCTCCAGCTCGAGGCGTCCGATGTCTGCCACCAGCGTGAGCACGCTTGCTTGCTGCTGCTGCTGCTGCTGCGCAGGCTCCGCTGGAGCACTGCTCAGAGAGGGAGGTTCCTCGTCAACCTCCATGCGATCTCCGTTCGAGGCCGCAGCCGACGAGCCGCCGACGAGCCGCTGCGGCGCTGCACGGGAGAGCGATCCTCGGCGTCCGTGCTCTCTCTGGTTGTAGATCCCGTCGCGGCGGCCCTCGTCGCTCGTGCTATGCAGCTCCATGGCCTCGCCGAGGACGTCGCCAACCGAAGCATGCCGCGGCGGTCTCAGGTTCTTTGCGACGCCGACTCTGCGCGAGCCAGCACGGCTTTGCGGCCGCGAGGACGTTGCACTCGGCGAGGGCGCCTGTTGTGACGAGATCGGAAGCGTGAGATAGCGACGACTGCGCAGGCACAGAGTCGCAAACTGGCGGTACCGAGCGGCGATCTGGTCCTGGCCTGGAGCCGGGACGGACTCCTTGGCCGCTTTTGCGACGCTGTCCCAGGCCTGCGCCCGCTCTTTTCGGCATGGCTCGAGCACGAGACAAGTCGGAAAACCGCGACAACTTCGGCGGGCATTCACAGATTTTTACCACCTCGGAAGCAACGCCTGTGTGTTCACCGGTGCTAGAGAGTGTCGAAAAGGAGTCCACACTGCATTCATCGACATCAACGCGCCCCGCTGCGCCGCGCTACTCGCGAGAGCGGGAGGAGATTTGGGGAGATTGTCGGGAGATTTCCAAGATTGTCACCGGGGTGTGCGTGGGTAAGTCGTGCGTCCTACGTGCCAAGGCGATGTGCATGCTAGTCTGGCTCGTCCCAATACGCTCAGGGGGCCGAGAACAGCGCTCTGTCGCGCGCTACTTTCCGTGCTGCTGAGAGAGGCCCGGAGGGGCCCACCACGGCCCACGCTCGCCTCGGAAATGCAAAAAAATGCTCCCAGGCCCCCTCCCGCCCACCCCGCACACCTGCTTGACTACTCCCGAGCCCCACGAGCCGAGGCGAGAAAGTTCGAATTAAAGTGCGGAGTTTGAACATGGTACAAAACGCGCCTGCGGGCGGACCCTCACAGATCACAGATCACCCAACCGCTTTGTAGCCTGGCGTTTGTGCCCCGTTTGTGCCGCGTCCCGTGCGCCCGAGTTCATTTTATGACCCAACGCGGCCACATCGAGAACCTCGAGAAATCCCGCTGCCTTCGTCAAAGCAGGGAGCCCACTTGACCGTGACCCGGAGACAGGCTTCATCAACACCAAAAGATGGTGGCCGGGACTTCAGACAGCCGCCTTGATGAGGCGGCGTGGTGGACCGGGCTTGTCGCGGGTGCGCACGCAAAGGAGAACCACCTGGCCAACAGCCCAACCGGCCGAACGCTGCTCGTTGCGTTGAGCGAGGATGAGAGGACTGAGACTGTTGCCGAGATGACGGACGATATGACGGAGAGGCCCGCCGTCCCGCTCTCGGTCCTCATCTCGCTGCTAAACACGTTGGCCATGCACGCGGTGCGCCCTCTCCTACCCTTGATATCTCTTGCACCGGGAGGCGTTTTCCCGGGAAAGCATCGCCACCGCCACCTTACCACTGACCCTCGCCCTCGCCACCCTCGCCACCGCCACCCTCACCGCCGCCGCCTCGCCACCGCCGCACTCGCCACCGCCGCCCTCGCCACAGCCTCCCTCACCACCGCTGCCCTCGCCACCGCTACCGCTACCGCAGGGAGCTCTGACATCGCCACCCACCCGTCTCGCAGGCGCAGCACGCCGACAACATAGACAGCCGGATGGCTGCTGTGCTGGCCGAGACGTACGCGGCGGCGGGCGCCAGCGGCCCTCCCCTCTCCTCCGCCGCGTTGCGCTCGGTCCGCAGCCGCTCGCTGCTCCGCTGGATGGGCTGGTGCGTCCCGCACCTCTGCGCCGAGAGAGGTATCTCGCTCGCCGCGCTCGACGCCTCGTTCAACCTGCACCAGCGAGAGCCGGTCGTCAAGGCCGCCGTCCAGGGGCTCCGCGCGCTCGGGTCGCCCAAACGGGCGCGGGGTCTGTGCAGAGCGTGAGGGCGCGCTAGTTGCGTGCGGACGACTTGTACCACATCCCAGCTCAAGGGATTGGTGGACCGGTGGTGCACCCTGCCGCCAGTGCGCAGTTGACTACGTTTGTTGCCCCCCTGTCTCTGCGAAGATCCCGTGTTGGCTTTGCACCCGCCTTTGCCCTTCACTCTCTTGCCGGTGTCTGACTGTACCGTCTGGTCGCGCTGCCGTGTCCTCTTTCTTACGGCTATCTAGCCATGCTCTTGCTTTTCGCGCGCCCTGATGGGAGGACGGCACGCCGCCACCAGCCACCACACAGCCACACAGGGATTTTAAGGATAGGAGTGTGGTGCCAGCCGTCGCCCACCCTTGCGCCTTGGGTGGTCTCTGCCTCTTCCTATCTCTCCTCGCAGTCCCTCGCAATTCTCTCGCAGCGACGCTCTACGCTGGCAGCGACCTTCATACCACCTCGCGGTCTTCTGACTCTCGTCGTTCTCTCTCCCGCCGCTTCATCCTCTGTCTCGTCGCTCTCCTCGTCCTCGTTCCTCGACGACGCCGCCGCCTGCCGACCCCTTGCTATCGCGGCTCCTCTAACCTCTCGGCGCAACTCCGGCTCCTCGAGTGAACCGGGTCGCCGTCCTGGTTTCTTTTTCTGATACTGTCTTTGCCCACGCCGCTCCGTTTGTTCGTGCGCGCGCCGCTCACAGCCCCCGGGAGGGCACAACGGCACCGGGAGGGAGGTGGCGGCATGGATCTCTGCGCACCGGGGGGCATGGTAGGAGGGCGGGCCGCACGCGAACATGCATCTCTGCGCCGCGGCCCCCGAGCTTTCTCGCCCAAATGACAGCCGCGCTTGAGTCCTCAGCCGTTGTCGCACCGCAGTCGATTCGGAGCCGCCAATGTCGGACCTGCGCCGTGACGACGATGACCCCCGGGGGGGCTCCCGTTCCCGTTCACCTGCCCGCGGTGGCGGCGGCGGCGCCCCCGGCGGCAAGGCCCCGGGCATCCCATGCCGGTGGAACGAGCGCGGTTTTGGTTTCATCAAGCCGGAGGAGGGGGGGGAGGACCTTTTTTGCCACTTTTTGTCCATGGAAGACGGCAAGGCTCTCGGGGGGGGCTCCAAAGTGGAGTTTGTCAAGGGGCCCCCTTTTCCCCCCCCCCCCCCCCCCCACCCCCCTCCAAGGCCGCCTTCAACCCCCGCGCCCACCCCACCCCGCCCCCGCAGGTCTTCGACGACCGCAAGGGCAAGGACCGCGCCGAGCAAGTGACGGGCGGCGTCGACGAGGCACCCGGCGGCGGCGGCTTCGGCGGCGGCGGCTTTGGTGGCGGCGGCTCCTCGGCGCCTGCTGACGACTTCTACTGGGCGAGGTGACCCGAGGTGGCCCGAGGTGACGCGAGGCCGACCGAGACTAGGCGCCGTGCTTCGACTACCAAAAGGGGCGCTGCACGCGCGGGCCGGCGTGCAAGCCTAGACGCGGAAGATCTCCCCATATCTCCCCCCGTCTCTCCCCGCACCTGGCAGCACGGAGCCTAGACGCGGAAGATCTCCCCATATCTCCCCCCGTCTCTCCCCGCACCTGGCAGCACGGAGCCTAGACGCGGAAGATCTCCCCATATCTCCCCCCGTATCTCCCCGCACCTGGCAGCACGGAGCCTAGACGCGGAAGATCTCCCCATATCTCCCCCCGTCTCTCCCCGCACCTGGCAGCACGGAGCCTAGACGCGGAAGATCTCCCCATATCTCCCCCCGTCTCTCCCCGCCGCACCTGGCAGCACGGAGCCTAGACGCGGAAGATCTCCCCATATCTCCCCCCGTCTCTCCCCGCACCTGGCAGCACGGCGCCTGGACGCGGAAGATCTCCCCATATCTCCCCCCGTCTCTCCCCGCACCTGGCAGCACGGAGCGTAGACGCGGAATGCGTGTTCATGTCTCCCAACCAGCACGCGAGAAGAAGCCACGCACTCCGCTGCATTATACTGTACTCACTGTCTTCCTCTCTGGTGTCTTCACACACTCCTCTCAATACGCTGCACAAGACCCGTCTTCCCGCCCTCATGTCGGCGGTGTCACCAGGCTTGCAAGTTTTCGCACGACAAGTACGAGTCGGCCTTCTAGGAACCTTCTCGGAACCTGCTCGGAGCCTTCCTTAGGCTTGCAAGTTCTCGCACGACGGGCCGGGAGGCGGAGGAGGCGGCGGAGGCTACGGCGGAGGCGGCTACGGTGGCGGCGGCTACGGCGGCGGAGGAGGCGAGCGGCGGAGCGGCGTTAGTGCCGTGCCCGCGCTGTGCTTGTCCTCGACACACCCTGCGATTCGGATAGGCGGGTATGGCGGCGGCGGCGGCGGCTACGGCGGCGGCGGCGGCTACGGCGGAGGCGGCGGAGACCGCTACGGAGGAGGAGGAGGCGACCGCTACGGCGGCGGCGACCGCGGCGGATATGGCGACCGTGGCGGCGACCGCGGCCGCTACGACGACCGCGGCGGCGGCGGCGGCGGCGGCGGCGGCGGCGACCGCTATGGCGGCTTCTAAAGCGGTCTTGCCGCGGCCCCGCCGGCTCGGTGTGCCGGCTGAAGCGCGGCGCCTGCGCTGCCGGCTTCCGGGACCCGGTCGGTGTAGACGCAGTGCTCGCTTGTGGTTCGTGCACCCGCTTTTTGAGCGCCGCCGGGGATCTTCTGCGAGGCTTGCTGCGCGCAGCCGGCGGCTCACGGCGCGGGGGCCGACGCGGAGACGGGCGACGTGTTTGTTTGGCCAGGGGCGTCTTTCGCCCGCGGGGAGAAGAAGGGGGAGGGGGTGTCAAAGTGTGGGTCCGGCCGTCTGATTCGTTACCAGCGATGGATGCACAAACAAAACATAAACAAAACCAGTCCTAACCACACCGCACACGTCGCAGCTCGCACGGTGTGTGGGTTCCGCACACCACACGAAGCACGATCTAGGGCTTGCCGCGAACGCACGAGACGGACTTCAGCAGCGGCGACCCGCCGAGGAGGTCCTCACACCGGCCCGAGCCCGCATCCATCATCCGCACATCGACGTACAGGGTCGAGCCAGGAGCGACACCTACGAGGACGGCTCGTGGAAGGCTTGTGGAGGGGTCCGGGCGGGACGGTCAGAGGTGGGAAATGATGAACGCCAAGGCGGCTCTTCGTCTGCGTGGGTGACAGCCCGCTGTCGCCGTACCCCAAAGCTGGAGGCACAACCAGCCGACGCCAGCCGCCCTCTCTCATACCGCGGATGCCCTGGTCGATGCCGGGCAGTAAGCGCCCCGCCGGGCTGCCAACAGTGTAGTCGATCGGCCGCGTGTCGAAGTACGACGCGTCGATGGGCATGCCGCGGTCGAAGCCGTCTGTCCAGAGCTTGAAGTGGAGGTAGGCCTTGGCGCCCTCCACCAGCTCCGGCCCCGAGCCCGCCACGACATCGATCATCCGCACTCCGCCTGGCAGTAGCCGGCCCTCCGCCGTTCGAGACGCGAGCTCGAGGCCCATTGCGTCCTGGTTGGACAGCTTGTCGAACGTGGAGCCAAGGAGCGGAGTGTACTTGGCCACAACCTTTGCAGCCGCTCGCTCAGCCGCGACGCTCGAGCCAGGCACCTCAGCCGCCCAGGAGGCCGCCGGCGCGCCGCCAACCCACCCGGCAGCACAGCCGAGAGCGGTGCGACGCGGCAGCGAGTGCGTCAACGCGGAAGAGCAGAGGAGGAGGCCGGACATACGTTGCGGAAGTGCAGACGGTGCCGCTCGCGTTTCAGAGCGTGGCGAGGCACGCTGCGAGGGCTTGGGCTGAGCATCCGTGAAAAGAACATAGCGTGCAATCGTGTGTTTCTTTGGCGTCATGTTGTGTGTGCCTTCGCTTGTTAACAACGAAGTCTAGCTCAAAAAAAAAACAGGACCCAGTTTATCGTAAACAGGACTAATCTGGTTCGTGTTCAGCCGTGGTCTAAACTGGGTCTAAACATGGTCTAAACTGGTTCGCTTGATACCCTCATTAGAATTCTTCCAGTGGTGGCTTATGGGGCGGGCGGGCGGCGCTTCACGTGGGTTGGCGGAGGTGTTCGGGTCGGTGGTGGTGTGGAGCGCTTGCGGATCCATTTCCCTGCGATACGCAGAAAAGGTGCTTCTCCTCCTCAGAATCCGGCTTCCAAGGAGACGGAGCAACGTGTTGCCGTGCGCCTTTTATGGGTCCGAGGGAGGTGCGGTACGAAAATATCGAATGGAAAGGCCCAGGAGCGACAATGGGCCGCGGTGGTGGCTCTGGGATGGAGGAGGGGCGATAGCTGACTGAGATGAGGTGCGGGTCATCCCGATGGGGGACTAGCACTAGCCGTCTTCCACATGGTCCCTCGGGTCCCTGCTGCTCCTAATCTCTTCGTTGTCACACTCGTACATCCTCCTGCTGATCTCCGCAAAGTCCTGCTCCCTCCCTCGTCTCGCCCTGCGCGTCTGCTCCGCCTCACCGTCTTCTGCCCTCTGCGTCGTCTGGCGACGGGTCCTCCATAGTCGGTCGAGGTCGCCGCCCTCCTCGTGCCTCTTCATGACGATCGGCCGTCGATCCCGAAGGGTCGTCGGTTGAGCTAGGGAGCCTGGCGATGGACGCCACCGCGACCCCTCGTGGCATCTCTCTCGCCGTCGGCGAGCCGGGGGCTCGCAGACGGCCGACTTTCTATATAACCAGTAGGACAGCCGTGAGTGTGAATCGGATAAGGAGTTTGCGTCCGTCCACCGTCTTCGTGGACGTCTGTCCTCGTGACACCCACACCCCACACGGCCTGTTTTGCTTCTGTCGTACCGGTATCAGCCTCTCGTTAGAGCATCCGGGACGATCTTGCCATATCCATACCGCACGTGCCGGCTGCGCTCAGGGCTGCAGCAGCGCCGCTCAGGGCCACGCCGTCGCCAGGAGAGGCGGGCGGCCCGACAGGCAGCGCTTCCGGCATGGTTCTGGCAGAGGTTTCGCCGTCCGGGGACGGCGGGGTGGCCGTGGGGACGGACGCGGACGCGGAGAAGATCGAGAAGTTGCTGCGATCGGAGCGGGGCGGGACGCGTCTGACAGCTGTCGGCATTGTCGACGAGAAGATTGGTGACGTCGCTTTTGAGCTGGCAGAAGACATCCCGTTCGCGGCGCTGGAGCAGCGCCTCCTCCACCCTGATGGGTGGGAGGCGCTGGCGGGGACGCTGCTCGGGGAGCCCAGCGCGCGGGCTGGCTACCTCATCAAGAGGGACCTCCTCAAGACCTGGTGGCAGGATGCGACACCTGAGCAGCCTCCCACCAAGGCGGGCGCACCGACGCGCTCGGCGGGCGCCTCAGTAGTGGCGAGCTCGCAGCCGGCCACGAAACCGGCGGCGATTCTGAGTGCCAAGTACGCCACCGAGCTCGAGGGGCAGGGACTCGACGAGCCGGGTGCGCTCGCCCTTAGCATTACCCTAGAAATCGGAGGGGTAGTGTCGGCAGAGGAGGCGTTGGCACTGGACGGGGCAAAGTACGGCACGTCGCCTGGCCTGGTCAGCAAGGTACGGAAGATGCGGGAGGATGGAGCAAGCCTTTGCCAGGCCCTCAAAGGCGGACGCCGCGCAGTGCTCGAGCACTGCCGCCGTCTGGAGCAGGACTACATTGAACGGGGCATGCAGACAGAGGCCTCGCTGATGCTCAGCCTGCGGTCTGGACTCATGGAGTTCAATGACGAGAAGATCCTCCTCACCTACTTCCAGCGGTACCTCCGCAAGTACTCCGGGCGCGGCCTGCCGAGCCTGCCCGTCGACAAGGAGCTCCGCGACGACGTCTTCCGCGAGCAGGAGAAGTCTACGGAGTCGCTCAAGAAGGAGATCGAGGACATCGGGAAGCGGCTCGCCAAGGCGGAGGCGGTGGCGGCAGAGGCCAAGGCCAAGGCGGCGGCGGCCGAGGAGGCGGCGAAGCGGACGGGCAAGTCCAACGTCAAGACCTGCTACTGGTGCGGCGAGGAGGGGCACGTCAAGCCTGATTGCCCCGTCTTCAAAGCCGATTTGCCGAAGGTCAAGAAGGGCAACTGATGCCCTCGGGGCCTAGCCCCGCCGACCTGCCTCGCTCGCACCGCGTGACCCTCACGCACCGCGGGCGGGGCTCGGGACGGTGAGGCGCCCCACCGCGCCGTGGCTGCCCGGGCTTATGAAGAGAGAGCCGACGCCCGTAACAGGGTGGCTTCTTCTCTGATCCCCGCCCGGGCAGCCCGGCGTTTTTCTGTGTTTCCACCTCACAGAGGTGGTGGCGCCTCTCCTCCCCCACACCAGGGCGAGGCAGGCGTCTCCTCCCCTGGTTGTGGTCGTGTGTTTGGTGCGTCGTCTGTGGTAGTCGTTCGTCCCAGTGACAGAGTTTTGGAGTCAGCGCTGAGTCCGGTTGTCTCAACTCGTACTGTGGACGATGGTCCGGCCCCGGCGGAAGCCGAGGGCGAGGAGGAGAATCGGCGGGCGAATATCGACTGGGCGAGCTGCCCAGCCATCGCCGACTCGGCCCCGCCGAAACGGCCAGCCCTCTCTCAGCTCGTTTTGGGATGCAGTCAGCTCCACGCACCTCGAGGCGTCGCGAGCCGGCCACCGGCCGCGCCGCCCCCCAGCGGTGTGGCGGGCATCTCAGCCACGAGTGGCGAGCGGGCAGACGAGGAGGCAATCGGCGACGGCGGGAGCCGCCGCCTTCAAGAGCAGAGCGCGTGGGCCGGGATCGGCCTCGCCGCCGACGAGAGAGCCGTGGCAGCTGCTGGGCTCATTTTGTCGCAGTGGCGGCGCTCGGTGACGCTCCGGACGGAGCGGGTTGGTGCGCTCCGGACGGAGCGTGGGGGAGCCGGACGGCTCCTGGATCGGGCAGCCGGACGGCTGCCAGGTGACTGCGCGCTGGCCGGGATCGGCCTCGCCGCCGACGAGAGAGCCGTGGCTGCCGCTGGGCTCATCCGTTCCCGGTGGCAGCGCTGGGCGACGCTCCGGACGGAGCGAGCTGAGGCGCTCCGGACGGGGCGTGGGGGAGCCGGACGGCTCCCAAATCGGGCAGCCGGACGGCTGCCAGGTGACTGCGCGCTGGCCGGGATCGGCCTCGCCGCCGACGAGAGAGCCGTAGCAGCCGCTGGGCTCATCCGTTCCCGGTGGCAGCGCTGGATGACGCTCCGAACGGAGCGAGCTGAGGCGCTCCGGACGGGGCGGGGGGGAGCCGTACGGCTCCCAGATTGGGCAGCCGGACGGCCGCCAGGCGACTCCATGAGTGCGGAAGCGTGGGCCAGAGGCGGCGCGAGCTTCGCCGACGTCGACCGACCAGAGCTGGACAGCGTGGTGCGCGCTCGCGCCGCCGGGCTCCTGCAACGACGCTGGAGGAGCAGAGGGCCGACCGGGACCGGGCGGGCGCCCGGGATCGGTTGCGGTAGGGAGCGCCTCCTCGCGGAGCCGCTCCGGACATGGGTGACTCGCCTCGTCGTCTCCGCCCAACGTCGATGGCGGCGCCACGGCACTGGCTGCGCCGCGCTCCCGCACCCGTCGACGAAGCTCCCCCCGCGGAAGACCGCGCGTAGCCACGCCTTGACGATCGAGATGGGCGCGCCTGAAGCTCGCCCACCTACTGCCCCTGAGACACACACACACACACACACACACCCAGTGTTGTGCGCGCGGTGTAAAATTCTTTTTCTCGGGATATATACGTGTAGATGTCCAAACCCGCCGCGCCGCCGCTCGCGCCGCCTCGCCGCCCCCGCCTCCACCTTCACCGCCCCCTCGCCGATCACGCCGCCGCCCATCCGCCTCCTCGACCTCCCCTCAGAGCTCCTCGCGCGCGCCCTCTCTCGCTGCGAAAGCCCCGTCGACATCGCTCGCGTCGAGGCCGTCTCGCTGCTCTTTCACGTCTCGCTCGCGGTGGAGGCCATCTGCTTGTGGGCGCAAGAGCGCGGCTTCGAGCTGCCGGCGCAGCCAGAAGGTGAGGGCTGCGCCGTGCGGTGGCTGTGCTTCGCTGCGCTGCTGTGCGAGTCCAACCCGCCGGCGAGGGCGGCATCAGGCGAAACGCACAGCGTCTTCATCGACGGCGAGGGGCGGCTCTCGTCGTGCGGGTCAGCGGCAACGGAGGGCGAGGAGGAGGACGACGACGAGGAGGAGGAGTTTCCAGGCCTTCTCGGCCACGGCGAGGGCGTGACGCAGCTCAACACGCCGACCCGCCTCCCCTCGACGCTGGGCGGCGAGCGCGCCGTGAGTGTTTCGGCTGGATCCGAGCACAGCCTTGCCCCTACCGCCGACGGCGGCGTCTGGAGCTGGGGCTTTAATGGATGGAGTGGCCGGTTGGGCCACGGCGGCCAGCAGCCCCAGTGGCAGCCGAAGAAGATCGAGGCCTTTGCTGGGCAGCGCGTCGTTGCTGTGTCGGCTGGAGGCACCCACAGCCTCGCCCTCACCGCCGACGGCGCGCTCTGGAGCTGGGGCAATGACTACCCTGGCCAGCTAGGCCACGGCGACCAGCAGGACCAGTGGCTGCCCAAGAAGATCGAGGCGTTGGCTGACCAGCGCGTCGTCGCTGTCTCGGCTGGAGGCATGCACAGCCTCGCCCTCACCGCCGACGGAGCCGTCTGGAGCTGGGGCGAAGGAAACTTTGGCCAGCTGGGCCACGGCGGCCAGCAGCGCGAGCTGCTGCCCAAGCAGGTCGAGGCCTTGGCTGGGCAGCGCGTCATCGCTGTCTCGGCTGGATATCGCCACAGCCTCGCCATCACCGCCGACAACGTTGTCTGGAGCTGGGGCGCAGGATTCTTTGGCAAGCTGGGCCACGGCGGCCAGCACACCCAGCTGCTGCCCAAGAAGGTTGAGGCCTTGGCGGGGCGGCGCGTCGTCGCTGTCTCGGCAGCGTACAGCCACAGCCTCGCCCTCACCGCCGACGGAGCCGTCTGGAGCTGGGGCTCGGGAAGCTTAGGCCGGTTGGGCCACGGTGACGATCAGAACCAGCTGCTGCCGAAGAAGATCGAGGCCTTGGCTGGGCAGCGCGCCGTCGCTGTGTCCGCGGGACGCGATCACAGCATCGCCCTCACCGCCGGTGCCGTCCTTACCTGGGGCAAAGGCAAGCGCGGCTGCCTTGGCCACGGAGAGGACCTGTCGAACCAGCTGCTGCCCAAGAAGATCGAGGTGTGGGCGCCGGGGCAGTGAGCAGGAGGGTGTGGGTGCGGGCGGCGAGGAGCATTAGGTCCCGTCTGGTACTCGCGAGCTGCGCCGCCGGCGCGGCGAGCAATGCGCGTTTGCACATTCTTTTGACGTGCATAGAGTGCACAGCCACAACGCGCTGCGCGTAGACACGTGGCGTCCTCTTTATGTCAATTGCATGAGGTCATGACCCTCGCCTCTGCCACGTCAGCACAGCCGGTCCAGGTCGGCCGGCTAGCAGGGGCTTTCGGGCACAACCACTTCTTGTGTATACACAAGCGAACTTGGAGCACTTGGAGTGCAGTCCTCAACCTCACATCTAGGGCCGGGGGGCTATAAGAAGCGCACCCAGCGGGCCGGATGATCGATATCGGGTTACGGGCTAGAGAGCCCTAGCGAACGATTAGTTTTTCCATTAATTAGACGGCAGAGCCGAGAGACTGAACATGGTGACTAGTTGCAAATACGGGTGCTGTGATATAATGACCACCTTTGATCTCTTTTTGTCCGTGTTGCTCCCAGCGCCTTCGCCCGCGCTCCCTGAGGCCATGGCTGGTGCTACCAGTATGGAGGGCTACCTGGCTACCGCGAGAGCGACCCAACTCGTCGACATCGTCCGATGATGGTGCCTCAAAGTCAGCCTCCGGAGGCTATCGTGGGGTCGAGCCGGCGGTGGCCGTGACATGTGGTTCCACCACTCCTCGCAGGCTTTGCCTCTGACCGCCACTGTTCCCGGGCTGCCCAATGGGATGAAAAGGAAGGCTGGGCGAGCGTATAGAAGCGTGCTCGACCTCGTCGTGTGGCAACCTGCACGGCAGCGCTGGCAGGCGCGATGAGCGTCGTGCCACCTGACCCGAGACGGGCATAGGGTCGCAGGCGTCGTACCGAGCGCGTCGAGACCGTGTGTCCTGATGCGCTCTGCACGGGTGAGTCACGTCGGCGTCAAAGGAGCGACGTGTGACCTGTCAGAGCTTGATCTCCGATCTCAGCGACGTCGAGTCGCCTTCGGTGGCGACAGCTAGGATGCATCTCCTCCGTCGTTTTTCGCGCTATGGCCCTGGGAAGCTGGCGCCGCACGCAGGCTGACCTTGTGTATGCGGCGAACGCTTGAAAATGGGTGCTCCACGTCACTTTTTGGAGTAGATCGTGCCGAGCTGGCCGTGACAGCGTTTTTCGGGCGTCTATTCGGTGCTCTGCACGTTAGCTGTCGCCGGTGGGTGTCCGGTGGGTCAGTGAGAGCTCCTCGTCTCTAGAGGCCGCCTGGTGGCCTCCGAGCGCCAGCCGAAGCAACCCTCGTCGTGCCCCGACACCCCCCCGACTCATGCTGTGCCGCTCTTGCCTGTGTGGCCGCTGACGGCGGGCACCCCGTGCGCGGCTGCGCCGCAAACTCGTCACTGCCGTCGTCACACCTGTCCACAACTCCACATCGACCCGCCCATTGCAGTGGTGGCGCAAATCTCACTCACTGCTCAACTGCTTATTACACACACCTCAGCTCATCTCCTTTTTGACTTCATCACTTTAATTGTAGGTTGGGCTTCCGGATGAGAAGTATAACGCAGCGTGGTACGGCAACCAGCGGCGGAATTTGGTACTAAGACACGGCACGACAACGTATCGGGATTAGATCCGGCTATCCATCCTTGCAGTGGTTGGCTACCAGATCGAGCCCGACTTGGCTGATGCCGTGCCGAACGAAGTCTTTTTTCGAGGGGCGGCCGCCGTTCTCTTTTGGTGGGCGGCGAAAGGGGAGGGAGGGAGGGAGTGTGGAGGGAGGGAGGAGGGGGGTTGAGAGATCAATAAATGAATAAGAAAACGGATGCCTCTACTGTGAGATGGGTAAAAAGGAACAGGTCCCCGCCCATGCGATCTTTGTAAAGGGTTCTTTGTGGGTCCGTGGTCGGCGACTAGCCGGGGTCGTCCTCCCGATGGGGGACTATAGCGCACTAGCCGTCTTCCACATTGTCCCTCGGGCCCCCGGACGTCGAGGTGGAGCCGTGGGACGAGCCCGACGAGGGCGAGAAGCTGCGCGCCTCCGCGCTGCCTGCCGGCTACGAGGGAGGCGCTCTCGCGCTTCCGGCCGCATACTCTCGTCCCGGCCGAGCAGCTGCTGCCCCTCGCCGAGTTCACGTCCAAGAACGAGTTCCTGCATCAGGCGCAGCGGCGCTTCACGACGGTGGTCCACAACAGGAACTGGCGCGACCTCGCCGTGGAGTTGGCCGAGGAGGGCTCTCCAAGGGATCGCGGTCCGCTCCTCGTGGCAAGAAGGGCAAGGCGCGTGCCGAGGGCAGGGAGCGGGCGAGGCACGCGGCCTGGCGGGAGGTATGGCGGTCCGCTTCGTGGCGGTGTCTGAGAGCCAGGATGGCGCCGGCGCCTTCCTCAACGCCACCCCCATGCGGGATGACATGCGAATGGAGACATGGGTTATTTATTCTTTGTATCGGCTTTTTTTATTTTTATCAGAGAGAGTGTCCGAGTCGTTGACGTTGCCTCGGTGTTGGAGTTCCGGGCAACAGGATTCTTTTACGGCTTTCTTTACGCAGCCCTGCCTCCCACGCTCCTCCTTCGCGCCTCCTGTTGCGTGACAATCAAGGAGCCTACGCGTTCGCGCACCGTCCCCCCCC